TGCCCCATCCCCGGGGCACACCTCACCTTCTGAGCCTGGCAGATCATCTTCCTCACCACCTCCTTGATGTGCGCCTGGCCCTCGATGGGTGGCTGCATGTAGACCGTGGCCCTGGTGACCCCGCGGTAGGCGATGGTCTCGGGCCAGCCCAGGTCCAGCTGCGGGATGGAGCGGTCGGACCTCTGGGGCCAGTACTCCAGGGAAGGGGCCACCTCCTGCTCGTCCCCCTGGCTGTTCCTGTCGCCCTCGCTGTCGCCGCCGCTGCTGCCGTGCCGGGGGATGTACTCGGAGCCGGGGTCGTACGTCTCCAGCGTGTCCAGGATCTTCTTCAGCTCCAGCTCGGAAAGGAAGTCCCTGATGTTCTCCCTCTTCAGGACTTCATAGAAGGCGTCGGGGCCACGGGAGGCCAGCGCCTCCAGGGCCAGGCGTTGCTCCTCGCTGTAGAAGAACTCGGGCTTGGACTCGCTGGACCTCCAGTTGACGTGGCTGTCGTCCAAGCACTGCACCTGGGAGAAAGCCATGGTGACCCCGCACTCGGGTCCCCTCTCCCGAGGGAGCTCTGTGCCCCCAGCGAGCTCGGGTTGGTCGGTAATAAATAGGAATTAATTATTCTCCAGTCTTTAAACACACAGTTGGCTTCACCCTGCCCGGCTCAAGGCGCAGCTCGGGGGAGGCACCGCTCCCTTTTCCAGCGGCTCCTGCCACGCCGGAGCTCTTCCTGCCGGGGAGGAGGGGTTGCTTTCTGCCTTGCTCCGGGCTCCAGGCAAGGAAAACGCGGAGCTTCCCCCAGCAGGATGGGGCAGACAGCCCCAGGTGTACCTACAGCACCGCGAAGCTCCTTCACCCCCGCGTCCGCTCCCTCCTCATCCTCCGCTCTCGCAAGACAACGCTAACAGCGGATGAAATAAAAAAAACCCGGGGAAGAAACAAAGAAAAAAGCGGCTAAAGGCAGGGCAGCGAGGAGCAGGATGCCGTGGCCGGTTCTCGTTGCCGGAGGAGCGGGGGGAGCTCGGCAATGAGCTCCGGCCTCCCGCGCATCGCCGCGGCCGCGCTCGGCTCGGGGCTCCGCCGGCGCGCACTGCCGGGCCGGACAGGTAACAGCGAGAAGTGAAAAGAGGAAAAGGAAAAGGGTGATTCATCCCTCCGCCCTGCCCCACCTGCAGTCACATGCTGCCTTCACACGTTCCCTGCCCAGCCCGATTAACTCTTTCGGCTGATGCGCGCTCACACCTGCGGAGCGCGGAGCCCCCCGGACTGCGGGTGCGGGAGGGTCCTGGGCGGCTCCAGAGGGCTTTGGCTGCTTCGTTATTTTTGTTTGTTAAAAATCTCTCTCTGATATCCCCCCCACCCCCGCCTCTCCCGATGTGCTGGCTGGTAAGTCAATATTTCCCAGGAAAAGAGCTCTGTCCTATAGTTAACCCCTCCTGTGCTGGTGCAGGAGCTCCGAGCCAGGGTGGGTCCAGGGTGGGCAGCACCGAGTGGGAGCTGCCAGAAAGGTTCAAAGCTGCACTGAGGTAGGTTTAGACTGGTTATTTGGAAGCATTTCTTTATGGAGAGCGTGTTCCAGTCCTGGAACAGGCTTCTCAGAGAGGTGGTCAAGGCCTCAAACCTGTCAGTGTTTAAGAGGCATTTGGACAATGCACTTAATTTTTTTGGTCAGCCCTCAATTGGTCAGGCAGTGGGACCAGATGATTGTTGTAGGGCTCTTCCAAATGACACCATTTATTCTATTCTGTCCTGTCATGTCCCATCTTGTCCTGTCCCTTCTTCTACAGCGTGGTCATGGTCACATCACCAGATCTGGCTGTGACAGATCTCATTAATAACAGTGAGATGGACAAAAAACCCCACCCTGGATTCACCAGTTGGTGCTCACAGGCCAGAACTGTGGAAACTCTCTTGAGCTTTTCTCTTGGAAGCTCAGCTGAAGACGAATTTCAGGAATTGGGGTCAGATTCTTGCGCCAATGCAAAGAAAGGGAAGTGCCATGGGCTGTGTGTCTGTCCCCGGCGTTGGTGTGGCTCATCTGGATTCACAGCCGGGTAAATGAGGGCCCTGCCTGAGTCAGGCTCCCGGGGCAAAGCCGCCTGTCTGGCCGGGTGCTGGGCCATCAAAGTGCTCCTCTCTGCAGGCACAGTGGCCCTGCTCGTCCCACAGTGACAAATCCTGCGTGGGTTTGTGCCCAGCCCTGGTCTGGCCTGTGCAGGAGGTGCAGCAGGGCTGGGGGACACAGGAATGTGACAGCAGTTTGTTGGGATCCTGGAATCACTAAGGTTGGAAAGGGTCACCGAGTCCAACCCAGCACTGCCAGCTCCAACGCTACACCACGTCCCCAAGTGCCACATCAACTTGGGGAAGATCCAAGTGCTTGGCTCCCAAAGGATATCAGCTCAGGAGGTGTTTCAGGTGGAGCTGGTGACTTTGTGGCTGACCCTGCAGGGATTTCCCAGGGGTGGGATGACATCCCCAGGCCGTGGGCTGCTCAGTGACTGCTGCAGCAGAGACTGAGGGGGCTGAAACCAAACCTGGGTGTTTTAGGTGAAATCCCAGCGCTGCTGGCAGCGATGGGGACAGCAAATGGACAGAGGTGAGCACTGAGCCAGCACCCAGGACTCTTTGGGTGTGATGGGAGATGGCCCAGATGGGTGCTGGAGTGTGGGTGTGTGGCGTGGCAGGAGCGTGTTGTGGTTTTGGCCGCCTCAGCTGCTCGCTCCAGGTGTTTTTATTGTGCCAGGAGATTTACAGACTCTTTCACGGGGTGTGTGTGCACTAATGATTTATTGCATGTGGGGTAAATGTTGCATCCCAGCCATCATGTGCTGGCTCTGCTGGCGGGGGCGGGTTGGGGTGGCAGAACCCCACACCTGGAGCATCTCCACCTGATCCTCACCTGGGTCCCCCATCTCCCCATCCCGGGGGTTTCTTCAGCCCACGAGGTGAATTTAGGCCCTGAATTGGCTGCAGCCCCTGTCTGCAGGCTGGGCTGGCTGTGGCTGAGCAGGTTGGTCCTCATCGTTCCAGGTGGATCCAGCTGGACAGGCAGCACCCGCTGCAGACACGGCCCCTTTCCTGCAGATGGAAGCATTAATTACAAGGTCCTAACTAATTTTCCATTTTTAGCAGCGGGCCTGAGAGTGAGGCAGTGGGGTATGACACTGAGCTGCTCCTGGCTCGAAGGACCCTGCTTCCCACTCACGCCGAGGTGCCACCAAGTGTTCCTTGCTAGAGCTGAGGCCTGGGGCAGGAATTTCAGCTGGAATACAACAACCAGACACTGCCTTGCCCTTTGGGACGTTTTCCACCCTCCAGCCACCAACGATTTGCATGGAGCCGTGCACAACGTGGTGTTTTAGAGAGGGGAAACTGAGGCACAGAGCGCTGATGGCAGCTTTGCTCAGGGCTGCTGCAGGAAGGAGTCACTGGATGGAGCCTCAGCGCTGACTCTGACCTCAGGGTTGGGTCCAGGCTGGGCTTTTTGGCATCCTTGGGATGTGCTGAGCATGGCCTGTGGTCTGCCCACAGCCCAGCCGTGCTTGCAGTGCACCCCACGCTCCTTTGTGGAAGGTGCCAAGGTGTCACCGCTGGTGTTTGAGACAAACTGGGAGGTTGGTGGAACCAGGACAGCGCTGCCAGTCCTGTGCAGGGCTCACCCGTGCTCGTCCCCGTGCTCCTGCCTGGGCAGGTGCAGCCCGGAGAGCAGGGCAGCCCATCCATATTAATGCCTGACATTAACTTCCATTCATTTCAATATTTTATGAGCGTAACAATTAAAAAAAAAAAAAAAAAAAAGGGTTCATCACTCGTTGAGACATAGAAATAATTGGGTGTTGATGGTCCTGGAGCGCTGCCACGCAAATCTCAGGAGCTGCTGGTGCTGCCCATGCCCAGGAAATTGCCACAAGGGCACAGGAACCGGGCTGGCCCCGGGGCTCTGCTGCCTCTGGCTCTGCCCCGGGTCCTGGTGGGGCTCTGGAGGTTCCACCTGGCAGCTGTCACTGGGTTTAATGTGGGAAAAATCCAACCTGCACCGGGCTGGGCAGCGGGAGGCGAGGGGCGGGACGGGCCCTGCGGTGTTGGAGCTGAGGGTGGGAGTGAGGCAGGAGCAGAGGTGGATTTGTGGATTTTCACCTCTCCTTGCTCCTCCAGCCGCTGTCCTGCCAAGGTCTGGCCATGGTGGCCACGGCAAAGGAGCCAAGGAAATGTGCTGGGCAGAAGGAAAAAAGCTGTGTGAGGTTTTCCTCAGCGTGGCTTGGCTCCCGAGTAGTTGTCAGGGGGTCCCAACTGCCCCCACCCCACCAGGGAGGGGATGCCACATCCCGGGATCACGGTTTGGGCTGGAAGGTTCCTCAAAGATCATCTCAGTCCAGCCCTGAGGAAAGGGCTTTAATTGGGGGGTGGCAAAGAGCTCCAAGTTCCCAGACCTGGGGGTTTGAGCTCCGGGAGGTGGCTGTCCCCAGGGTCATCTGTCCCCTACACTCACCACGTTTCTGTGCCAGGTTCCTGCTCAGCCAGCCTGGACACCCAGAGCCACCCAAGGCCATGGGACCCCCGGCTGTGACCCTCAGGGACCCCCCAGAACCCCCATTCTGGGCCTGTGTCTGTGGCATCAGCGCCAGGGTCCTGATGTGTGTCAGTATTTTCTGTTATGCCCTGACAGCCCCTGGGGTGGGGAAGAGGTGCTTGGAGAGGGGAAAAATGAGGATTTGGGTGCTATTTTTCATTTGTTTGGATGTGATGTTTAAATCCACTGGTGCAACGAGTTGGGTGTTCTGAGCACTGCGTTCCCTGAGTGCCTCCCTCGGGGTGTGAGGTGTGGGGGGCATTTGTGGGGGCAGAAAATCCTTGTGGGGGGTTGGGACGGGCATTGGGGTGGGGAAATGGGATATACAGTGCAAACACAACTCTACATGCAGGGAAGCAAAACTGCAGTGAAGCAGCAGCTGCGTGAACGGAGGGATGGGACACCTTGGCAGTGCTGGAAAAGGCAACACCCAAACACATTTTACTGGCCCTAAGTATAAAAATAATATAAAAAAAGCACAATTTACAGCTATGAGCAGCACCCACAGGATGGAATCTGCCTGGATCAGCCTTCCCTGGTACCCTGAGCCCTGGAATTCCTCCATGGTTGTGGATCCTGGCTGCCTGCAGCCCTCCCTGGATCTGGGGCTTCGCTTTTGGGTTTGGAGAGGATTTGGGGTTTGGGGTTTGGGCTCAGTCCCTCTGTTGCTGTCATCCCACTGGATTGTGCCTCTGGAAAAGGTTTTTTTTTGAACACTCCACACTCCCTCCCCAGGAAGCAGCACTGGCAGCTCAGTCCCTGGGCTGGGGACAAGGACCAGGCACCATCCTGGGGACAAAGGGACACTCAGGCCGTGTGGGCAGCTCTGGTGAGTGGGGACAACGGGGCTGGGTCCTGCCTGGTCAGCGTGGTGAGGGCCACTCGTGGATGGTCACTTGGAGGTCACTGTGGATGGTCACTCAAAGGTCACTGGTGGATGGTCACTGGTGGATGGTCACTCGGAGGTCACTGGTGGATGGTCACTCGGAGGTCACTGGTGGATGGGGTGGACGTAGCTCCGGGGGAAGAGCCCAACACGGCTGTAGATCTTCCCCTGCCACCAGTTGGGGTCAGGGCAGTCCAGGACCTCAATGATGTCCCCACGGAGGAAGGGCAGCTGGGAGCCCTCCTGGGCTGAGAAGTCGAACTGGGCTTGCACAAATCGGGGTCTCCTCACCTGCAGGGAAGCCGAGGGCAGGGATTGGTGGGAGGAGAGGGGTCCCCACCTGCCAGCCCCTGGCACTGGGTGGCACTGCCTGGGTCCTGGTGGGGACGCTGTGCCACCATGGGATGAGGACGAGCCTTGGGATGCCTCCTTTGGAGAGACAGAAGCCAGAAAAGGGAGGAGTGGAGCGCTGGGGACAAGCCCAGGCGGAGGGGAACACCCCAGGGCACAAGATTCCCTGTTCTTGCTGCTGGGAGACCCAAAATGGGTGCCCAGGGAGGCAGCTGGCACCCTCTCCTCCCCAGGTCCTTCCCGGTGCTGGAGCTTTCCCCATCCCAGCTCCCAAAGTCCAGTTTTGCCACCTCCACAACCACTGCCCCAGGGCTTGGCTTTGCTGGAGTTTGGCCGTGCCCTGTCCTGGCTCTGCCACCTGCCCTGGGCATCACTCCTGGCCCGAGGGACGGGGATGTGTGCCCTGCCCTGCCCTGCCCTGCCCTGCCCTGCCCCGCTGAGCTGCTCCAGGAGCTCTTCCTCCTGGCAGCACTGCCCGTCTCTCCTGCTCCTCACCCCCCTGAGGGCCAGCCAGGGATGTCCCCGTCCCTCTGCAGGGACACTGAGCCTCAAGGGGGCTCCTGCAGGGCTTTGGGACCCATGGCCCCATCCATGGTGGTACCTGCTGGCTCTGGTCCTCGTCCCACAGGAAAATCTGCTGCTCTTTGGCAATCGTGGTCATCCTGTAGAAATCCACCAGCTCGTTGAGGGAGTTGAACTTTTCCTCCCAGAGGAAATATTTGCCGTTCCTCTCCCTGAGCACCTTGAAGTGCTGGACGTCCTTCCCGTAGCTGCAGAAGGAGGGAGGATGGATGGAGGGATGGATGGATGGATGATGGATGGATGGATGGATGGATGGATGGATGGATGGATGGATGGAGGGATGGATGGATGATGGATGGATGATGGATGGATGATGGATGATGGATGGATGGATGGATGGATGATGGATGGATGATGGATGGATGGATGATGGATGGATGGAGGGATGGATGGATGATGGATGGATGATGGATGGATGATGGATGATGGATGGATGGATGGATGGATGATGGATGGATGATGGATGGATGGATGATGGATGGATGGATGATGGATGATGGATGGATGATGGATGGATGATGGATGGATGATGGATGATGGATGGATGGATGGATGGATGGATGGATGGATGGATGGATGGATGATGGATGGATGATGGATGGATGATGGATGGATGGATGGATGGATGGATGGATGATGGATGGATGGATGGATGGATGGATGGATGGATGGATGGATGATGGATGGATGGATGATGGATGGATGGATGATGGATGGATGGATGATGGATGTCACCCTGGGGACATCCTGGTGGCATGCTCTGAGGTGGGTAAAGTCTGGGGATGCTGGCAAGGTCAGGGTGAGCCCATGGGTCTGACTGCACCCCTCCTGCCATGGTGGGGGTGCTGGTGGCACTGGGGTCACTCCTGGCCCTGCAATGAGGACCCACAGCTGAGCTGTGTTGCATCTCCCCCCACAGGCAGCCAAGGCTCGGTGCCAGGCCCTGGCACAGTGGGGCTCAGGGGGTGGCAGCGTGCCAGCCACATGGAGGGCAAGTGGCTTTGTCCAGGGCCACATCTGGGGAAGGCGTGGTGAGAGCTGCAGGTCTGGGCACCAGCCAGGAGGCTGCAGAGGCGGGATTGTGCTCTCCAGGCACCCCTGTGCCGCAGGAGGACAGGGCAGGCAGGATGTCCCTTGCTGTCACCTCACAGGGTGTGTCTGGGGTGACAGGCTGGGGTGCCCCGGGCAGGGGCAGGAGCTGGCTGTGCTGCTGGTGATGCAGGGCAGAGCACAGCTCCCTTTCATTAGGGGCAAGAACCTCCTGAAACGTTCAATTAGGGATTAAAAGTGTGAGAAAGTGCCTGGCTGGCCTGGGGCTGTCCCCTGCTCCCCGGGATGGGGTGGGGCAGGGTGAGATGCCCAGGGACAGGCTCTGCCCCTTGTACAGCCAGTGTCAAAGTCCTGGAGATGCTGAGCCCTGCATTCCTGGGGATGGTGAGCCCTGCATCCCTGGGGCTGCTGAGCCCTGCATCCCTGGGGATGGTGAGCCCTGCATCCCTGGGGATGCTGAGCCCTGCATCCCTGCAAATGCTGAGCCCTGCATCCCTGGGGATGGTGAGCCCTGCACCCCTGGGGCTGCTGAGCCCTGCATCCCTGGAGATGCTGAGCCCTGCATCCCTGGGGATGGTGAGCCCTGCATCCCTGGGGCTGCTGAGCCCTGCATCCCTGGGGATGGTGAGCCCTGCATCCCTGGGGATGGTGAGCTCTGCATCCCTGGGGATGCTGAGCCCTGCATCCCTGGGGATGGTGAGCCCTGCATCCCCGGGGATGCTGAGCCCTGCGGGGTCTGCAGGGACCAAGGGCTCCCAAGGGCACTCACCTGACGGAGAGGGAGAACTCTCCCGGGGCGCTCTCGCTGTCGCGGATCAGGAAGGCTCCCGGGTGATTGCGCTGGAGCAGCCGCTCCTCTGCCAGCTGCCGGGAGACCCTGCCCGCGTACCACCTGCGAGGGGCACCGGGCTGAGCCAGGCGGGCACCCCCGGGCACCCCCGGGGGAGGCACCGAGATTCCCGGTGCCACCGGGCTCCTCACGGGGCTGCGACCCTCCGCCGGCACTTTCTCCCCTTCCCTCCCCCTCCCTGTTCACCCCGGAATTTTCGGGGGGCACCGCAGGGTGCTGTGGGCGCGCTGCCCCCTCCGCGTCACCGGCAGCCGCCACCGCATCCTGTCACCTGCGCTGTCACCCTGCCTGTCCCCTCCTCCGCGTCCCTTGGGCCCTGCTGGGAGCAGCCCTTCCAGGGGGAAGCAGAAATCCCTCGGTGCCAGGATAATCCCTCGGTGCCAGAATAAACCCTCGGTGCTGCACCACCAGCACCTCCAAACCAGCTCAAAGAGCAGAGTCCCCCTGTCCCACCCCTGTGCCCGAGTATTTCAGGTGCCTGGGCTGGGAAGATTCTCTGCTGCTGTAAAAACTGCCCGGTGAGTGATCAGCCCCAGAGTTTAGCACAGGGCCAACCCTGCAGGTGCTGTGTCTCGCCCATCCCCTTTGTTATCCCAAACTGGAGAAGCAGTGGGATGTGCCCCGGGCTGCCCCGAGCCCACGCCTTCGCTCTGGCATTTAAATGTGATTTACCAGGGGCTAAGGATATATAAAACACAGGTTCAATCAGCGATGGATTAGGCTGGGCTTTAATAACACGGTAATAGGATTGTGTTTAATGCAGCCATAATCCCGTAACGCTTTGTTGTTCCCCAATTATCATTTATTTAGTGGCAGCTCGGTGTGAGGTTGGATTTTTGGGGGTATGTGGTTGTGCTGCTGCCTCTTGTCCCCTCAGGCTGTGGTGGCACTGGCAGACTGACCCCCCCAGCTCCGTGACTCAGTTTCTCCCCGTGTGGGACGACCCTGGCTCGTGGCAGACCTTTGGGAATTGGGATTGTTGCCTGGCTGGTGGGGCGGCACTTACGGGTGTGGCTTGACCTTGATGTAGTTTTTGGGGACAAAACCCTCGCGGCCGAACAGCTCAGCCTTGTACCAGTTCTGGTCATCTTCCATGTTGAGGATCTGAGGTGGGAGAGGAGCAGGGAGGTGTCAGCCTGGCTGCATTCCCCTGGCAGGGGGGCTGATGGGGACCCCATTGCTGCCCCAGACCCCACAACACCCACCAAGCATCCCCTGGGGAAAAGGGGGCTCTGGCAGTGCTGGCACACCCTGGGGGCTTTGGGGTCTCAGAGCTGGAAGGTGCCCGGTGTTGTCCCAAACCCCTGCCCAGGGAAGAGGGTGAAATCTGTCCCTGGAGCAGGCAGGACATGAGCCAGGCCCCCGTGTCCCTCGGAATGGTGGCAGTGGGTTCTGCCACCGCTTCCGTGTGACATTTTCCAGCCTCCCCCGCAGGGGCCTGGGGCGGCACAGCTGTGAAAACAGGATCTGAAACCCCAGCTCAGGGCACGGGGAAAACACGCCGGGAGGCAGGGATGGCACGGAGGGATTGGGGCTCTGGGTTCCAGCCTGGATGTGCCCCTGTGCCCCCCGGGGGGCTACAGGGTGCCAGGGGTCCGTGAGGAGCCCGAAGGGATGAGCACATGGGCAGGGAGGGGCTGCCAGCACTCCCATCGCAGGGCTGCTGCCCCCCAGGGATGTTCTGAGCCCCTCTGGAGCTTTTTGGGATTGCCAGGTGGCATCTAAGCGCCCACCCCAATGCCAGTGCCCGGGTGGGCGTTTGGGCACACGCTCCCCCTGCCCTGTGCCCTCCGGTGCCCCCCAGACAGGGAAGATGTGTCCCAGACCCGAGGGGCTGCCACAGGGCACAGCTGGTGGCACTGCCAGCCACGGAGGCCACATGTCCCAGCTGGGGGTGCCCTGCTCTGAAGTCATGCCTGGTGGCACAGGCAAGCAGGGAACGCTCCTCCACGCTCCCAAATCCTCGTGGCCAGCCCCTTATCTCCCACAGAAAGGCCCAGAAGCATTAAAGCCAGGGACAAAGGAAGCATTGGTGTCACCCCAAAACATCATCCAACCGTGTCCCCCGTACCTTCAGGGTGTCCCCTTTCTGGAAGGGCAGCTCGTCCTTCTCCGTGGCCTGGAAGCTGTAGAGGGCCACGGACTCCATGGCCGTGGGGACGTGCAGGAGGGGCCGTGGGGCCCGTGGGGCGCTGGGGCTGCGCTGGGTGTGGGCAGGGCGGGCAGGAAACCGAGCTGATGGCAGCGCTGCCGGGGCACCGGGGGGGCACAGCCAGATGTGCCAGCCCACCCAGGCACCACGCGGGGCACAGCCAGATGTGCCAGCCCACCCCAGCGCCAGGCGGGCCAAAGGATGGCAGAAGGATTTGGTGTTTCCCCCACACGGTGAGTTGGCGGGCAGCGGTTGGGGTTTAGATGGGGAAGGGATGGTGGTGGGTTGAGGGTTTTGGGGAGGGGGTTTGGAGAGCACGGGCAGCGCTGATGGGGGACTCAGGGACTCAGATTCAGTCAAAGAATGAAAATGAAAGTTTCTAGGCAGGCAGACGCCTGAGAAAGAGCTGGAGAGAATGTAAATAATTCTTTATCTCTTGTTTTTCACGTTGTTTATAGTTAAGTTCTATCACCTCTGCACCAATGCTGTGAGTTGTTTTCACTTCAGAACCAATGGATTTGGTCCGTGCAAAGCTCTGTATAAAAGAGCAGCGTATTTTGAATTAAAAAGTGTTTTACTTTCAGCAGCCTTCTGAGTCAGAGTCTCCTCATTCCTGTCCTGCCTCGACAGGGACTGGGGAGTCTCTGGCTGAGCTGCCAAAGGGGGTTTGGTGGGAATGGTTGTTCCAGAAGAAGAGAAAGGCGGCGGGTGGGAATGGCGGAGGCAGAGGGAGGCAGGAGGATGCACACACCTGTTTTTTTGGGAATTCAGAGCAAACCCCCCATGGCTCAGCTCTGCCCATCGAGCTTTCAGCACAGCTGATGTGGCTCTTTGGGCCGTGGCCCCTTGGGCGAGCTGATTTTTCCCAGTTTTCTTCTGCAGGGCTTAGGGAATAAAAATCCCTTTTAGACTAAAACTGAGCACTAAAACTTCCCGCTGCTCCCGTGGGCGTCAGGCACGGAGCATTCCCAGCGGGAAGGTCTCCAGAGCTGTTCAGCCTTCCTGTGTGTGGGCTGGGGCAGGGAGCACATGGAAAATCCGCCAGACAGCGCCTGGCTTTGCTGCGAGGAATGGAACTGGGGACAGCTGCAGTCCCTGCCCGTGGGTTTGGGCAGTTCCAGCCAGGAGCAGGATGCTGCTGCCATCTGCCCGGGGTGGGATGAGCTGTGGTGCTTGTAGGGCCACTGTGGGGACGTGGGCTCGTGATTCTCCTCTCCCAAACCTCATTCTCACTCCCCAGCTGCATCAGAAAAGCAAACGGCCTCCAGGCACCCCACTGAGGCCACTCCAGCGCCCGTGGGAAGGCCAGAGGGATGTGCAGGGTGTCACTGGGTGTCCCCACAGCCAGCAAGGCCCATCCCCAGTGGTTATCCCGGGATGTGCTGCTCCCAGGGGACACGGAGGTGCTGGCAAGGCCAGGAGGGTCAGGGAGGCCGTGGGAAGAGAGTTAGGGTTAGGGTTAGGGTTAGGGTTAGGAGGAGGGGACTCAGCAAATCCCCACATCCCTGAGAGACCCAGGGGATGGGAAGGCAGCAGGAAATCATCTTGGGATGAGCTTCCTCTGCCCCTCAGCAGCTTTGGGGGGATGGAGCTGGATGTTCCCTGGGGGAACAGCCCGGCAGAGCCGCTGCTGCAGCCAAGGGATGGATGCTGTCCCTGCTCCATCAGCCCCACGGGTGATGCAGAGACCCCTCCCGGCCACCCCACACGGAGAACAGGGCAGGAGGGTGTCCGGGCGTGGGAAGGGGTCGGTGTGGGAGACTCCTGCAGCCCAGGAGTGTGGTATTGGGGTGACAGTCACCTGTGCCATGGGGGACACGGGGAGCAGCTTTGGGATTCGGATTCCTGGGGCAGCAGGGGGGGATTTGGGGGCACCGGACTGGAGCCAGAGGTGGTCCCACAGTGTCTGGGAGGGGGCACAAGACAGTGGGGTCACAGAGGGTCCCCAGAGGGTCACAGAGGTACACAGGGGGTCACAGAGGGTCCCCAGAGGGTCACAGAGGTACAAAGAGGGTCACAGAGGGTCCCCAGAGGGTCACAGAGGGTCCCCAGAGGGACACAGAGGGACACAGAGGGTCACAGAGGGTCCCCACCCAGCCCGGCGTGGTGGCCAGGCTCAGGACCGGAGCAGCATGGGATGGTGCCAGCAGATGGCAGCAGTGCCCCAGGGGACACTGGGGACATCGGCCACACTGGGGACACTGGGGACACTGGGGATATCGGCGACACTGGGGACACTGGGGATATCGGCGACACTGGGGACACTGGGGACACTGGGAACTGGGGACACCGGGGACAGCGCCACCTGCCCCTCCTCCACTCAGGCTCTAGTGAGGCAGGCAGCCCCCTGACACCTCTGTCACTTCCTACATCACAACCTGTCCCTGTCCCCGACCCCTCCTGCTGCCCCGGCTGCGCTCCCCGGACAGGGTCCAGGTCCCTGCCGCTCACTGGTGGCCCGCTGGTGGCTCACTGGTGGCTCACTGGTGGCCCGCTGGTGGCTCACTGGTGGCTCACTGGTGGCTCACTGGTGGCTCACTGGTGGCTCGCTGTCCCCGGCTGTCCCCTGAGCACGCGGTGGCACGGTGGAGGTGACAGCAGCACCTGCACCCCCGGAGGGTCTGGGCTGCTCTGGGGCTCCTTTTCTGGAGCCAAACCCTGTGCCAGCCCTGAGCCGATGCCCGGGATCCTGGGGGCCCTGTCCCCTCATCCCTGTGCCCTGCACGTCCCCTCGGGGGGACACAGGAGGTGCCACACGGTTGCTGTAGGTTGGGTGGCAAAGCTTGATGAGCTTTGGGGCTCGGTTCTGAGCTCAGGATCACCCTTGGGCACAGAGCAGAGCCTGGCAGCCCACCCTGCCCGGGCTTTGGCCAGCAGCCCACGCTGCCTCTCCCTCTGAGCTGGGGACTTCTGTGACCCTGGGGACAGGCGGAGGAAGGTGCCAGGGGCTCTGGCACTGCCCTGTCCCGGCTGCAGGGCCACTCCTGGGAGCTGCCTGCAGCTCCTGCTGACTCCTGCCTTGCCCAATTTGCCCAGCCCTGTTTCATCAACATCCTGTGTTTACCTGGCTGCAAAATCCCCAAGGGGAGGGAGGAAGAGGAGGGAGGGGAGCCTCTTCCCCTTCCTCTGCAGCCTGGGGAGCTTTGTTATGGACACGGCTCGGGGCTCCCCAGCTCCTCTCCTGCTGCTCACTGACCCCTTGTTCTGCCCACGGAGGGGGTGTCTCAAGCCTGGCTTTGCCTCCTGGGGGGCTTTGGGCTGGGCTTGGATGGGGCAGGGCTGGGCAAGGCTTTGGGCTGGGCTTGGATGGGGCAGAGCTGGGCAAGGCTTTGGGCTGGACAAGGCTTTAGGCTGGGCTTAGATGGGAAAGGGCTGGGAAAAGCTTTGTGCTGGGGCTGGATGGGGCAGGAATGGACAAGGCTTTGAGCTGGGCAAGGCTTTGGGCTGGACAAGGCTTTGGGCTGGGCTTGGATGGGGCAGGGATGGGCAAGGCTTTGGGCTGGGCCTGGACGGGAAAGGGCTGGGCAAGGCTTTGAGCTGGGCTTGGATGGGGCAGGACTGGGCAAAGCTTTGAGCTGGGCAAGGCTTTGGGCTGGGCTTGGATGGGGCAGGGATGGGCAAAGCTTTGGGCTGGGCCTGGATGGGGCAAGGCTGGGCAAGGCTTTGGGCTGGGCTTGGATGGGAAAGGGCTGGGCAAGGCTTTGGGCTGGGCAAGGCTTTGGGCTGGGCAAGGCTTTGGGCTGGGCACGGCTTTGGGCTGGGCTTGGATGGGAAAGGACTGGGCAAGGCTTTGGGCTGGGCACGGCTTTGGGCTGGCTCACTGCATACCCCGGAGCAGGGAGAGGGATGGATGCTGCCCAGGACACAGCGCTGTGCTGGGGGCTGGGAGTGCAGCACAGCCAGGATCCAGGCTGTGCCTGGATGGGGAATGTGGATAAATCCTGTAGGATAAAGGCTGCAGCTGCCTGTGTGCCCAGGGGTGGAATCAGCCCTTCCCATGGGGACCCAGATGTCCCTCCAGCCTCAGCGAGGCCCTGCACAGGGAGGAAGTGACGTCCTGGGCTAGAAAATGCCACATCAGGGCCCCAGACAGGATCTCAGAGTCAGCATTTCCCCCCACAGGAGCAGAGGCCACGCTGGTGACTCCTGAGCGCTGGATCCTGTGTGTAACTCAACTTCTCAGCCCACACTGAGGAACTCGTGTCACCAGTTACACCCTGGTGTAGCTGAGGACAGAGGATCAGACCTCTCTGGAGCTCACATTATCCCACAGGATCTGTAGGAAAACATCAACAGGAGGAGCAGACACAGACAATTGGCCACACTGGGTCCAGTGTGGCCATAAAAGGCTCCTTGAGGTGCTGGTGGTCTCCAGACGTGGGGCTGCATCTCCTCGGGGTCGGCATGGGTGGCTGGGACTGGTTTTGGGGGTTTTGAGCTGGTAAATCAGAGCAGGGCCCACTTGCCTGTGATGTGGGTGGGTTGGGAAGTGGCACTGTGCTCTCATGGGAGAAACCCCAGGGCAGGGGGCTGGTGGTGGGACCTCACTTTCTGCTTTTGGCCCCAAAAATGGATCTGGAAAGGAAGTGAATGTCATGACGCCTCAGGTGTAGAATTCAACCCAAAACCTTTAAGGAAGGATCGCTGATGGGGTCATCTCAAACAACCCTTCAAGAGGGATACAGCCTTGGGGGTGGCTGGGATTGGCTCCTGGGAGAGGCCAAACGCTGTTTTGGTGAGGAGGGAGAGCCCAGACACAGCAGCCACAGGGGAACAAACAGTGAGGAATTTTTGGGAGCCCCCAGGGCTCTGCTCTGGCTGCTGGGTGAGGTCACTGTCAGTGCCTGGCTCTGGGCACGCAGGGATGGGGGCTCAGGCCAGGATCATTTACAGAGGTGTGCCCCATTAATCACCAGGGCCAGCACAGCTGGGGGTTATTTGCCTCCCTGGGCTCTGTAAAAGGACCTGGTGGCCACTTCTTGGGTTTGGACTGATGAGAAGGGAGTGTTCTCTCTTGTGGCTGTGTCTTGGAGGTATTCCTGAGATCCTGCTCTTCCCTGGGATGCACCAAGAGCAAAAGGTGAGCTGTCCCTCTGTGTGGTGGCTGTGTCTTCCCTGGTGTGACCTGGAGAGAATGGAGCTGTCCAGATCCACCTGGAGCAGATCTCGTGTGTCCCACGGCTGTGCTGTCCTGGTCCTTGGCTCTGTCCTGGCCTTGCTGTGGTCACTGACACACCTGGGGGGACTCTGGGACCTGCTGGGTGCCCTCATGCAGGCCAGGCTCTAATCTGAGCTGTGGGAGGGATGTTTTCTGCTGAATCCTGCTGTGGAAATGTCTGATGGTGACTCCTGGGATGATGGACCGTGTCTGGCCTCCAGCCTCCATCTGCGCCTGTGCTATGGACAAGCCCAGGTCCCCAAGCTAAAATTTCCTAGCTGGGCTGATGCTGCAGCAGGGATGGGAGTGGGGAATGCTCTGTCAGCTCCCGTGGCTCCTCAGGAGCCATTCCCACACAGCTGAAGCTGGAGAACCCCCCTGTGTGCAGAGGGTCCGAGCTTTGATTCACAGGGAGACAAATGAAAAGGGTCCCTTCAAGTGGAAGTTCCAAAGAAAGCGGGCAGGAGGAGTGGGATTTGGGTGTGGAGGCTGTTTGTGTCGCTGTTTGCCGTGGGGGGAGGCTCCTGGGCATGGGCTGATGGAGTAACCACCCATTTCAGGGGATCTCCACGGCTCCTGCAGGGCTTGTTTGAGGGGAGCCGGGAGTTTTGGTCACATCCAGGCTCAGCCTGAACCGATTCCAAGAATCTCCCCCTCAACAAGAGCATCTGTTATTTTTCTAGGAATTAAAAAGAAAAACCCACCGCCGAGGGCTGTGCCGTGTGCATGGGTGAGCGGACCGTGCTGTCACCCTGCTGTCACCGCCTGACTCACCCGGGGGGCTGCGACTCCCAGCAACAACAACAACAAAAAACTGTAGGGAGAAATTGTGAATGATGCTGGCTGCCACCGGGGTAGTCAAATTTCTGTTCCTCCTTCGGGCTGGCTGGTTAACAAAGAAGTTATTAATAACCAATTAAGCCACAACTCGCGTCACGCCTTCCTCTGGGAGTGTGGCAAGAGCAGCCCTGGTTCCTCCTTTGGCTCTGTCCCCACCCTGCCGCTTTGGGGGGACATTTGGGCTGCTGGGGATGGGGACATGCCCAGGTGGCAGCTCCCAGGCCATGGTGACACCTCCGTGGGCTGTTGGGGACCGCCAGCACAGCGGTGACCCGAGGCTGGGGCACGGCGTGTTTGGCTGAGCCGCTGGTGGGGCAGGAATTTGGGCAGTGCCAGCGCAGATGGTGACAGCCGTGGGGACACGGAGGGAGGAGGAGGGTGAGGAGGGTCCCTGCTGGGCACTGATGTGCACGGTGCCACATGCCAGGCAGAGCTGAGCCGGATGCGCTCGGAGCACAGAGAATCCGGGCACTGTGCTGCTCCTGAAACGCCCATTCAGGGCAGGAGCAGCAGGACAAGAGGGAGGAAGCGGAGGGAAGATGGAGCACTGAAGGCCTCTGTGTGTGGCTGGACGGATGCAGGTGCAGCTGTGGATTCCCCGGATGCTCCACGCTGCCCTTGATCACCAGGGAGTCCCCCCAAATCCCCAGCCCTGCTGTCACTCTGAGTTATTCCTGTGCCACGCTGCCCAGTGCTGCCCTTTTTTTAATCTATAGGTGTGTGTATATTCCCTGAAGTGCCACCCAGGGTTGGGCTGTCCCTCGTTGCTCTGACCTCCCTCCTGTCCTCAGCTGAGTATCTGCAGGAAATGTTTGGTAATTAAATAGCTGTGAAAACTCATCATCAGCTGAAATCAGCCCCGAAGGACACACGGGAGAATCCCCACACGTGGCCTTGCCTGTCCCATCCCACACGGCGCTGCTCCCTTTGGAAAAGCAAGCTGAATAAAGCTGCTGCCCTGCTGGCAGAGCCCTGTCAGGGCACTTTTCCTGAGTGCTGATTTTCACCTGTGCAAGGCAAGAGGAAAAACTGAGTGCAGGTTTTTTTTAGGAAGCCACAACAGAGCAGATGAATTCCTCCCAAGGGCTGTGTTGGGCTGTGATTTCTGACACATCAGCTGTGACAATCCAGGGTAATTTCACCGAAGCCTCTCCAGATGTCTGTGTGTAAATGGGAGCAGGATCTGGCCCTGTTAAAGGAACACTGCCCAGGGCTTTGCTCCAAGATATGTGTTCTTGCTTTCTGCTCTCTTAGCAAATGCAGCACTCCTAGGAGGCAATTCTGCATCTTAAATAGAAAGCCAAGGCACTGCTTTCTCTTGCAGTATTCCTGCAGAGCTGGAAACAGCATTTGCTTCAATAGAAGAGTTTGAGATCCCCAGGAAAATGGGACCTGAGCCCCCTCCCTGTGAGGCTGATGGCAAAGGAACAGTGTTGCTCTGACAGGGCTCGTGATGTAAGGCACTAACATTAGCAGAGGTAATAAAAACCCTCCCATGTAGGTGTGCTTGGCACAAGATGCAGTAGCAAGCAAAGAATTTGGTAAAATCCTGTAAAATATCTGTTTCTGCACGGTGTTCCTTTCAGCATCTGAAATGCAGATTTGTCATCTTCCTTCCTCCTTCCTCCCCCTCTTCCTCTCTCCCAGGCTGAAAGAGGAACTGGGTTTGGGTTTTGCTGGTTTTTGGGCTTTGCTGGGGGGCTGGTGGCCACTACAGGCTGAGCAGCTCAAGGAGCTGCTGCTGAGGTTGGCAGCAGGACCCAGTGGTGTGTTATGTCCATTTGTCACATTAATGTCCCATGGTGATGCCCTGCTGCCCAAAGTGGGATTTCAGAGCCATTTCATGTCAGGGGGGGCTAGGTTGGATATTAGGAAAAGGTTCTTCCCCCAGAGGGTGCTGGCACTGCCCAGGTTCCCCAGGGAATGGTGCCAGCCCCGAGGCTGCCAGAGCTGCACAAGGCACAGGATGGGATTGTTGGGGTGTCTGTGCAGGGCCAGGAGTCGGATCAATGATCCCTGTGTGTCCCAGTCTGGCATTGCCTGGGAGCAGGAGGCACCACGGGGCACAGGATGCCCTGGAAGGGCTCAGATGAGCAACAAGAGCAAGAGTTTGATGGTGGGTGAGCTCCAGCTCCAAGTGGAGAGGACAGTGTGGAGGGAGAGGTGGCTGGAGGAACTCGGGGAACTTCTGGAGCAACCTGAACAGTCTGGACTGGGCACAAAGGACTGGAATTACTTGTGAGAGACCCTCAAAAACAGCTTGGGAAGGGGCTACAGCCCCTCTCCAGTGTGGGCACCTGTATCTTCTCCCTCTGGAAACCAGATTAGCACAAATTCTATATCCCAGCCTGATGCCTGCTTGCTGCTCCCTCAGCTGGGATCAGGAATGCAGCCTCCAGTGGTTTGCAGCTGTGCTGTTCGTGGCTCCCCGGGGCAGACACAGTTCAATAAATCATTTTAGCATATGTTTAAATCTCCCTGAGCACCTCTGGGTGCAGAAGGCTTAGGGAACGTGCCAAGTGCCTGCAAGGCTCAGGGGAGGCTTTAGGCCTGAGGGTGGAAAATGTGCCAGTCCATGGAGAGTCTGGAGAAAGGAGCTTCACAGGGATGGAGCTTTTGGGAGAAACCCAGGAGAGCTGAGGAGAATAGCACATAGGTGCTGCTCTTGGCTTCTGCTCTGAGGGATGGTAAATATGAAGGTCTGGAGCTGGGAGCCAGTGTGTGGGAAGATAAGAACATCCATCCTGCTTACAAGCAGGTGTCCAGTCCAAAATCTGAGCACTGGCGGTGTTTGTAGCAAATGTTTGAGGATATAATTGGAGAGGGACTTTTCACAAGGATGTGTACTGATAGGATGAGGGGGAATGGCTTTAAGCTGAAGGAGGGCAGGGATAGATTTGGTATTAGGAAAAAATTCTTCCCTGTGAGGGTGGGGAGGCACTAGACCAGGTTGCCCAGAGCAGCTGTGTCTGCTCCAACCCTGGAGGTGTCCAAGGTCAGGCTGGATGGGTCTTGGAACCACCGGGGATAGTGGAAGGTGTCCCTGGCTGTGGGTGTGGCTTTGGATGATTTTTAAGGTCCCTTTGTACCCAAACCAGTTTATGATTCTCTGATAAGAGGAATAAGTGAGCGAGCAGACAGAATTCCACGCTGTGTTCTTCTCCTTGGATTCAGTAATTCGGGGCACCTCCCAAAGTGGAGCTGTGTCTGCAAGATGCATCTTGAAAGAAGCACCCTTGAGTGACAGCATCTCCAGTTCTCTGCCTTTCCCCCAGGCTCTGATCTCAGAGCAAAACAAGAGGTCCTGCCCTGCCTGGAGGGAAAACACGGGAGTCTCACATTTCTCTCTCAAGTGCAAGCTGGAAAAGCTGATGCAGACACGCTCTGTACTGGAGAGCAAGGCCCGGGGTGCTTGTGTGGAAGTGCCTGTCACTTTTCATGTAAGGTCAGCCGGTGGCTTCTTGGAGGAAGTGGCCTGCAGAGCCCAGCCCTTCCTCCCCGAGTGCTGGAGATCCTGCTGAGCCCAAAAAACTCCTCAGCTGAGCCGTGCAGGTGCCACAGACCCTTCTTCCAGCCCGCTGGTCACACATGTGGGGTTTTCATGACATCAGGCACTTTGGGCTTCTTTAGTTTTCACCCTCCTGGAGTGGATTATTCAGCTGACGTTTCACCAAAGGCCACTTTCAGTATTGCTAAAATCTGTTGTGGTTGTGCGTGGTTTGCACCCCATGCCCCTCCCAAAATGCTCTGAGTGACGTGGAAGCATCTTGAGGGACAGAGGAAACTTGCTGTCTGTAGCAACTTGCTCTGCAGTTATTTTTGGTTGAGGTTATTGTGGTTTGTGTCCCAGAAAAGACGGGGCCGTGCACAGCCGGTTCCCAGCAGCGCTGCCGTTCGCCTCTCTCTCACCTTTTCCCATCAGAGATGTTTGATTTCTAAAAATCAGAATGCAACAGACCCCTTTGACTTCCTCTCATGTTCACAGGGTCAGGGAGCAATCCTGCATTTCTCCATCTCAGCCCATAAGAATGTGGAAGCTCGTAGGAGTATTAATTACAGCCAATTATAACCTGCTTGACTGGCTGAGGTGCTCAAATGGCTCCTGAGATTTGCTGTTGTTGAAGAGGAAAGTTTTCCCTCCACCAAGTTTTTGAGGAGCTCATAGAGGGCTGATCCATGGAGCAGCTCAGCTGGGCAGTGTTAGGATTGAACACGTTCTGGAGGAATCCTTGCCTGCAGTGCTGTGCAGTTTGTTTGCTTTGTGGAGTCCTGATGGCTTGTCACCAATCTCTTCCAGCCCAGCTGGTGATTTTTTTTTTTTAATCTGCTTGTTTATCACACAGGGACCGTGTATTTACAGCTCTGCAGCATTGTTTAGGGTTTTTTTACAGAGTGAAAGTTCCTGGGAAGCCCTGCTGAAGATGAGATGGGGCAGCAGGGACAAGTTTGGAGTCACAACCGTGCATGCAGATATGAAAGTTTCAACTGGCTCTGTGAGCCTGGGAATGGAGGAAGTTACTTGCAGAAGTGGGAATCAGAAACCCAGAAATTGGGCCAACTAATTAAGGGACTGGCTGGATGCTGTGCAAACACAAACCAGACAGACAGCTCTCAGTTTTCATCTGTCAAGGGGGGAAAGCTACCAGCTTTTCAGTGCTGGGCATCCAGCTGTAATCCAGGGATGTGGCAGCACTGCTCCAGCCTCTCTGTTTAAAAGACACAAAATACCTGCAGCTTCCAGTGCTTGCTCTGCTTTGGGGGTCACATCTTTGTGTCTGAGAGCAAGGCTCTGGAATTTGGGCTAAAGCTGGCTGTAGCTGTGCAGCTCAGCTCCCAGGCTTGGAGCTGAGGTGGCTTTCCAGGCATTGGATGCTCTGGGAGCAGAGCACACGTGAAGGAAGCTCCAGTTGTCCCCATGGTGCCCCAAATCTCTGTGAGCACCACACTGTGGTGTGATAATGCTGATTTCAGAGTTGGCACCCCTGACTCACCCCAGGTAAGGGGGATGGATGGTTTGCTGCATCTGATTCCTGTGGGGAAGGTGATGTTTTCTGGGGTTTTGTGCTTAACAATGAAACTCCTTGTGCTGGACCATGTCCTCTGCCAGCAGTGGCCACAGGCTGGGTGCTTGGCTGTAGGTACACATAATTTCTCCCCTCTTCTACAAGTGTACAAGTCTTTTGCCACCCTTTCTAGCTAGGACCAGCCAAAATTCCTGTTCCAACAGGTGAGAGGAAACCCAAATCCCAGAGGATTCTGCAGAGCCAGGAGTGTAGCTCCTGACACGTTCCTCAGAGCCAACAGGGCGTTTTCCCTCAAGGTTAGAAACAGCTGGGAGGAGTGAGGATAATCCCTGGCCTCGTGAGGTCCTTGTGCAACTGCACAGGTCATCCTGGAGTTTGGAAGTGATTATGGAGCCTCCATCAGTCTGAGGGTGGGCCTGGGGCAGAAGGGAGGGGCTGATTCTCCGGGTGACATTCTTTGGGTGGCTGCAGGAATGCAGAAGAGGAGGAATTCTGATGGGTGATGTTGTCCATCAGCTCCATCCTGGCAGGAAGTCCTCTTGTTGTGACAAGGAAGAAGTCAAGAGGGATAGAACAAACTGTTCCAAGCAAAAGGGAATGCCCATCCTCCAGCAGGAGCTTACAGGCTCTGCCTTGGGGAGCCAGATGGTCACAATAAATATGAGCCTGACTTTGCTGGGCCTGAGTCTGCCACTCCAAACTGTGCAGATGGTCCTAATGGGTGAGTGCTCCCAGCCTGGAAACAAGCAGCACATCCAGGCTCTTCAGGTCAAATGTGTTCCTTGTGTCCTATAAACCCAGAAAAATACCTCCTCAGCAGTCGGCGTGGCCTTGCATGGCCCTGTCCTCTCTTTTCTGCTGATCTGAGGCTCACCTGAACCTCTGGTGAGCTGGTTCAGGGAGCTGAACTGGCTGAGAAGCAGCACTCCCCCCAAAAAAGTGATTAATCTTCACCACAGGTGGTATGAGCTGGTGCTGGTGGCAGGGAGGGCATGGGAAGGGGTGGTGGAGGAAGGGCAGGAACCACAACACCCTGACTTAGGTCAATTAAAACTTGTGGAATTTCACCCCGAGGCTTCAGTGGGATTTAATGTAAGCAGCACAGTAGCCTTGGCTTCTTGCTGTGGCATGGGAGAAACTGCACCTCGGGAGCAGTAAGGAGAAAGGAATGAGGGAAGGTGCCCACAGATGAGAACAGCTCCAGCTTCTAAAGAAACACAACACTTGGTAATTACAAGAACTAAGCACATCCAAACGTCACTGCCTCTTGCACTGTCAGAGCACATTCATTTTGAGAAAATCAGAATGTGCTGGGCTTGCATTCTCCCTTCTCTTTTCATGAATCTGCCAACGTGTTCAGAAAAGGTCTGGTTTGAATACCCATATTAGAGGTGTATTAATTTTGAACATGTCAAAAGGAATATTTGCATTGGAAACAGTTCTACAAGTTTGTCTGCATCGCAGAGGGAACGAACCCCCTCCTGCTGGCTGTGTTCTGATTAGCTTGGGCTGCTTCCAGCTGAACTCAGGCACAGGCTCTACTCTCCCTCATTCCCATCCTTCTGCTTTTCTCCCTTCTTTAAAGATGTTTGAAGAAGCCAGGCTAAATATGATGGGAACTAAACTCTTATTTTGGTTCTCCTCGCTTTGTAGACAAACCCTGGAAGTGTGGTAGGGCTGCAGACCCTGTGGATCCATGTGTCTAATTGAAGCAGACAAGACTGTAACTCAGACTTTGCATATTTCAATGAAATATTCATGAATCCAGGAGAGAATAACCCGGGGTGAACATCAAGTTGTATAATCTGAATATATTCTCTATAACTGTCAGCAACACGGAGACAGCTCAGAAAATTCCGGGGAGGGTCTGTGCTTGTTGAGAAACATCTCGCTGCTTTGGCTCTAAGGACAATGATGATTGTGTTTGCCCAGACTATTTAATTAGCAGATTTCCCAAATTGGGCTCTTAGGGACTGAAGTCCCCATTTACCCCATGTGGAAGCATGTGGCTTCCCAGGAAGGCTGGGAAGCTCCAGCTGCCACTGGAGTGGAGGGTGCCCAACCTCCCGAGACATGAGGCAGTTCCTCACTTGGCTATTTAATCCAGGCTGGAGCGCTGAACATTAAACACACCTTCATTAGATGATGCTCGTCTCTATTTCTGCATTGATTCCTCTGAAGACCTGCAGGTTAGGAGTGGGAAGGAAAATCAGTAATGGAGCAAAATGACTGTGATTTAGAGATTGGATTGCACGCAGCCAGGGCCATGCATCAGGATAATGAGATTCAGTCTTGTTTGCTTACAAGCACTGGAGACAGAAGGAGAAAATGTGATCCACCAAGCCAGCTCTCAGGAAATGAGGAACAATAGAGTGAGGAAATCAAATTTCAAACGGCAGGGATATATTTATCGAGTTTTCCTTGGGATTTTTGCAGCGCTTTGGGGCGTTCTCTGTGCAGTGTTTTTTCGGGCAGCTGACATATGGCGGGAGGATTAGATCACTGCAAAGCACCGTTGGTTCTGACCTATTTGTTAATGCGGGGCTGGGGTCAGCGACAAGAGACAAATGCACTTGTCACTGTTTGGGGCTTTTCAAGTGCTGCTCCTGTTGTCCCTCGCGCTGTGGCCAGACATTTGGAACAAACTCATTAGCTAATTAGTGGTGTGCTCAGCCCCACGTGGGCGATATTCCCATTATGGCTGTGGAACAGCCCCTCCTGAGGCTCCCCGGCAGCTGCTCTTCCTTAGGTTAGTTGGGAGGGCAGCTGGGGGAGGATGTGCCTTCCTCATCTTCTCTGGGAGAGCCTCCTGCATTCCAGACATCCCACTCCTTATCCTCCTGCTCCTTATCCTCCTGCTCCTTATCCTCCTGCTCCTTGCCTACTCCCACTCGCTGGGTCTACTGCCACCAGCTTGTCTCTGGTGCCCAGTGACAGGACCTGAGGGCGTGAAGCTGTGCCAGGAAAGTTTAGGTTATCAGGAAAAGGGTTTTCACCCAGAGGGTGCTGGGGCAATGAACAGGTTCCCCAGGGAATGGTTGTGGCATCAAGGCTGCCAGAGGTCCAGGAGTGTTTGGACAATGTTCTCAGGCACAGGGTGGGATTTACAGAATCACAAAACAGTTTGGGTTGGAAGGGATCTCAAAAATCCTCCATGGGCAGGGACACCTTCCACTATCCCAAGTTGCTCCAAGCCCTGTCCAACCTGGCCTTGGACACTTCCAGGGATGTGGCAGCCACAGCTGCTCTGGGCACCCTGATCTAGTGAAAGGTGCCCCTGATCCTTGGTGTTGTCCCGTGCAGGAGCACAAGTTGGATTTGATGCTCCTTGTGAGTCCCTTCCAATCCTGAGGACATCCTGGAGCCTGTGAGCTGCCTCCTCCATGTGGATTGCCCTGCTGGTTATCAGGGTGGTGCCACAGCTCCCGGTGCCACAGCTCCCGGTGCCCAGCTCAGGCTGCACATCCTGGCCTTGGACTCTGATTCTGCCAACGCGGCTGAAATGTCGTGGGCTGGGAAGGTCAGAGATGGCTCGGGTCAAGATCCAGGTGCAGCCTGCTCCAGAGAGGGATGGGGCAGGGCTGCAGTGGAAAGTGTTCTGTACCAGCTCCTGGCTTTAAAATCACAGGACAAATGCAGCGACCTCCTGTTGCTAATATGAAACAAGAGACGTAAATCCACTGCCACGAGTCAGCTCAGGGGCCACCAGGAGGGAACGTCCCTGTGCAGCCTGGGCAGAGCTCTGCTGGTACAGCTCTACCACTCATACTGCCCGGGGCAGCAGGAACACTGCACTTTAGGGCATTAACACGGATATAATAATCAAAAAATAAGTGATATTACTTGGCTGGTTTGTTTTACTTGCACTATGGGGCTCGATCTGGTTGATAGAAAAGTGTTTTTTTGGTGGAAGTGTGCCAGCTGCAGGAGGTTTTTGCTGGGTTTGCTGATTTTCACACTTAATGATGTAGACAGATACCTGGGATGGAGCTGGGAATGGAGAGGAAGCTGCCTCCTGCTCTGGAGAGCTATCTGCCCAGATCTGGAAGGAACACAGGCAGGAGAGAAGGCAGCAGGAACAATCCTGTTCTTCCCATTTTATTTTTAACCAAGAGCTTTCTTCTCCTCCTTTAGAGCTGTCAGCACCTGATCATTAGGATTAATGAACGTGCCCAGAAACATTGGGTTTCCATCATTGCTGTTTTCTTGCAAAGAAGAAAAGGGGGAAGTATTCTTTCAGCTCCTGCTGATACCATCAGATGTGTGCTGATCCCTTATTTTTTTTTTTCACCCAGAATTGAATCCTGCCTAGCTCAAGGTTAACAGCTAAGCCAGAATCACAGCTCACTGCAGAAGATTTGAATCTTCCCAGCTCCCAGATGGTGCTCAAGGCATTGGAATGTGCAGCATTTCTAAACAAGATGCTTTTAATGCAGCTCACCCGGTGTTTCACTGCAGTCCCTGTTCTTCTGTATTTAAACCTCAAATCTGTGGCAGATTTGATAGTGGCTCCATGAGAGGGAAGTGTGGATGCTCCATACATGGAAGTTTCCAAGGCCAGGTTGGACGAGTCTTGGAGCAGCCTGGAAATAGTGGGAGGTGTCCCTGCCCCTGTCAGGGGTGGGGGGGGAGATGATTTTTAAGGTCCCTTCCCAAACCATTGTGAGATTTGATGAAGTTTGCAGCACTCAGCCTGACCTTCCTTTCACTTAAAAGCAATGACTCATAAACTGGATTTTGCTCCACATTTCTGTTTCCCTATGCTTTTGTAAGGCACGATTCCTCAGGAATTTGGGTTTTAAATAACCAGCAGCAGTGCCCTGTGCCAGCAGTGATCCAAGCAGAGCTCTGCTATCCAGCTTCTCCCCTGGCCCACAGCAATCCCGACTGTCTACTGAGCAGCTGTGTCCCGTTTCCTTGAATTGTCTCCCAGGTTTAAGATGGGAACAAATATATTCAGGGAGGACTACAATGGAGCAGTACCCTCCTCCAGCCCACGGTGCCGGACACAGGTTTAGTCATTATCCCCAGGGGAAGGACGTGTGCTTCGACCCACCCAGACCGTCCAGCTCCTCCTGCCACGTTCGTGCCTCTGTGTCCCTGCTCAGCTCCCCTTCATCGCCCAGCGTGGAGACCCTGATCCACAAATGTGCTCAGAAAGTGTCCCCTTAGCCATAAATGTGGTTATTTTATATTTGGAGTACCTGTGCTGTGCGAGGCAATGGGAGCCGTGCCAGGGTGGTTCAGGTTGGACATGGGGAGGGATTTTCTCATAGAAGTGATTGAATGTTGGAATGGGCTGCCCAAGGATGGAGTCACTGGCCCTGGAGGCGTTTAGGGGAAGGCTGGATGTGGCACTCAGTGCCATAGTCTAGCTGACAAGGGGTGTTTGGCCATAAGTTGGGACTTGATTATCTCAGGTCTTTTCCAAATGAATTCATTCTATGATTGTGCTGACAGCCCACATTGGACCTTGATTTTTGGGAGGCTACCCTGTCCTAAATCAGTTTCTCCTGGGCGCTGTGAGTGTGGAGGGGGAGTGTGCTCCCCAAGCCTTCTCCTTCCATCCAAGGCAGCCCCAGACCTGCTTTAAATAACCACAAATGTGGTTATTTTGTACTGATAGTAATTAATTAGTATTCTTTGTCCCTGGCTCTTGGGGGATCTCTAGCTCTGAACCTCTGTGAGCACTGAGGGGGATCCCCAAATTCTCTCCTTCCATCAGAGCCAGCCCCGGACTCTCTCTAAGGCATTCCCTGACCCATAAATCGGATTATTTTTTAACGATAGCCTTCTTTTGTATTATTTCACGCAGATTTTTGGAGGACGCCTGAGCTCTTTGAGCCCTGAGGGGCCTCCCCAGGCGTTGTCCCATTCAGAGTCGCCCGTGCCCGGGGGCGCCGATCCCGCCTCGCTCCTCAGCGGCGGCCGGCTCCGAGGAGCCGAGCCGGGAGGGAGGGAAGGGAAAAGGGAGGGAAGGAAGGGAAGAGGGAGGGAAGGAAGGGAAAAGGGAGGGAGGGAAGGAAGGGAAAAGGGAGGGAGGGAAGGGAAAAGGGAGGGAAGGAGGGGAAGAGGGAGGGAAGGAAGCGAACAGGGAGGGAAGGAGGGGACGGGCAGCGCGTCCCCCCCACCCCGCCCTCAGCGCGGCCGCGCCTCGGGGCCGCGCGCGGCCGCCGGTTCCGCCTCCTCCGCCGCCTCCCCGCGGCCGCCGCCGCCATGTTGGATGGTGCGTGTGGGTGTCAAGCGCAGCCCGCGGCCGCCGGGACACACCGGGACACACCGGGACACCGCGCCCGCCCCGCGCCCGCAGGTCAGCGCGGCTCCGCGGGCTGCGGGACTGGGAGGGAGGGAGCGAGCGGGGGGAGAACGGGCGGGCAGCGCCGCCGCCTTTCCCCTGCGCGGGGAGGGCGCGGGAAGGGCCCCCGGGGGTCCCCGCGGGGAGGGCGCGGGGCCGCGGTCGCCCTTTGTTGTCGCCGGGGGGTGGCGGGGCGGGCGGCGGGGACGGGCCGGGCTCCCGCGGCCCCGAGGTTGGGCCTGGCTCCCCGATGGGCCTCCCGGGGCTGCGGGGGATGGCCGGGCCTGCGGGCTCGGGGGGCTCCGCTCCGCCCGGTGCGACCCCCGCCCCGGCGTGGTGCACCTCCATCGTGGCGGGGCGGGGGTTGTTGGGTTGTATTTTCAGTGATAATCGTTGTTTGGGAGGTGTGTGATAATGGTTTTAATGGTTTTTAAGGGGCTGTTTTATATAGGGGGTTTGGAATAAATGATCTCCAGAGGTCCCTTTCAACCCTAATAATTCTGTGATTTTCTATGATATTCTTTATCTCTCCCTGTATATATATTTACACCGATACATCCTTATATATATATGTATATATACATATATATGTATACACATACATATACACACACACACATATATATGTATGTATATATATATATATACATACATATATATGTATTAAAAAAAAATTTTACCTGCGGTACCTGTGATGCTAGAGATTAGGGTTGGGTAGTCAGCGAGCTGTATTACATTATTGCCGTGAAATACATTGAAACAGTAATTATCACAGGCTGCCCACAATGGAAGTCCCCTATTTTAAAGCCGTAAGGCTTTAATGTAAATGTTAAAATATTCATGTTAAGATTTAAAGCTCTGAGGCTTTAAAACTGGTAGCGTTTGGTCTCAGTTTTATGGGTGTGTAATGCTTCCCCCTCCCCTTCTCAAGTATGCCATCGACACTGATCTGAAAAGCCAAGTGAGATTTTAAATTTACAGCAGTTGGATGTATTTCTTGTTCTCATCTATTAAGAAAATAACCTGAATTATCTACATGCTTATCCATTTGCAACAGGAGGCCTAAAAGACTTGTTGGGATTGTGAAGCTGTTGCAGATGTTACAGGCTGTAGAGTCTGACTTGAGGAGTTCAAAATGCAAATCAGGCCACGAGATTAAGTTTTATTATTCTCTCCACTGAAATACGTGTTGTATGGTAATACAGAATTCTTGCATAATTTCAGTGCGATGCTGTGTTTTGTGAGACACAAGGTCATAGGAAATTGTATTGTTGGGGTGTGAAATGTGGGATGAAAGATTTTTTTTTAAATCAGAAATATATTGTAATGGTATCTTTAGCAAAATGCAGCCTGTTTAGGAGTTACTTCTAAATATGTTTGTCTTGGCTGATTCTCAGATGTGTTATTTTTGAACAAACTCAAGTCTGGGGTTTTATTGGGAAGAATCAAAACTTTTGATAAATTTTCCTTTATAAGCCCGAAGTAATGGTAAACTAGCTCAGCAGAATTTCAGAGATAATCTTACCTATATTAAATATTTAACTATGTTATCAAAAATTATCAAGCACAAATGACCCATGAACATTCATTCCTGAAGGCAGATTCTGATAAGGCTAAATTGACTGTGGGTTCCATTTGAGGAAGTTTGACTTGGGGGTGCTGATTGTAACTTCCTCTATTCCATGAAGTTACTCTGCAACATTACACCTGTGTCACAACAGCTCTGTGACACAGCAGCTTGGCTTTTACATCTGCTGAGAACTGGAAATGATTATCAGCTTTTCAGAAATGCAAGGTAGCACTCACAGCATCTTTGAATCCCAGAATGGGTTGGGTTGGAAGGGAGCTCAAAGCTCATCCAGTCCCACCCTGTTATGGCAGGGACACCTTCCACTGTCCCAGTTTTTTCCAAAAAAGGTCCAGCCTGGCCTTAAACACCTCCAGGGATCCAGGGGTGGCCACAGCTTCTCTGGGAACTTGTGCTAGGGCCTCCCCACCCTCCCAGGGAGGAATTCTTTCCCAACATCCCATCCAACGCTGCTCCCTGGCAGTGGGATGCCATTCCCCCTGGGCTGTCACTCCAAGCCCTTGTGAATAAATATCCTCTCTCCATCTTTCTCCACCTCTCCATGGACTTGTTCCCTAGGTAGAAGCTAAGTAGTGGTGCGTAATATTTGGGCTAAAAAAGTGCTGTTTTTAGCACACCTGATGGGTGTGGAAGGACCAGAGGAGAGACCCCTGACTGTCAGGTAGCCTGGCTGGTGATGCTCATGTTGGTTTGCACTTTCATTATTCCTACAGTTACATTTAATGAAGAGTTCACAAACATCTGATGTCCACTATAATACAGGCAGCAGAAATGAATTCAGCTTGCACTGACCACATCATTATTTACATAACTGGTTAATCATGCTAGTTTTGTTCCAGCTGTCAGCCATTTGATTGCTTTAAAACTTGGAGCTTTTAAGAAGCCTCAAATCTTGGATCACTGCTGGGAAATGCCAAAGGCCTAATTTGTTACTTCATAAAAATGCTGATAGTCTCTCTTGATACAGAAATCAGGGTTTTGTTTCTGTGTTTTTTTTTTTTTTCCCCTTTAGAGAGAGAGACAGCAATCATTAAATGATAATCAGTTTAGGGGAAATACATTAAAGAATAGTTATGATGTTCCTGATCTTGCTTTTCTTAGGTCTCATACGTGGGATGGGGAAATGACTCTGGCTTTTGCTTGGTGTAGAGGAATATAAGTTACTCTAATACTTTCTTTAATGACTGGTACTCAGGAAGCAACTTCCCAGTCTTCCAGGGCCATATTTGCAGAGTGCTAAAGTGTCCCTTGGGATGTTGCTAATAGAAAATGAAATGTGCCTGCTTTGTAGGAACGCCTGTAATGTTCTTTTCCCACTTTGCCTCGCTCTGATCTGTGCAGGGAAAATATCGAAACGTACCAGTATCCCGCTGGCTTAAGTGCTTCAAAGAACAGCAGGTTTTTGTGTGTTTCAGTAGCCTGGCTGCTCATTAAGAAGGCAGGAGACTCCATGGAGGAGAACAACATGGATTTCTGTCCTCTGGAATAAAACCTGCCGGGGCTGATTGTTGGTCTGCTAGCGTTGGTGTGCTCCAGGTTTGGTGCAGACTGGCTGTGCTGAATAACAGACCCTAAAAAGCCTGAGTTAATCAGTTTAACTGGTTGTTACAGGACTGCTTTCCTGTTCTGCATGGAGAAAGAATTCAGAATGGTTGAATGGGAGTGAATTCAGAGACTGTGGGCTTCAGGATGGATCTGGAACTCAGTGCCTGTTGGGCTGAGCCTCTCGGTGAATGGTGCAGCAGGTAGAAAGCTACAGGAAAACTGATATTCTTTATTTATCATTTTACAAATAACAGTTTTGTCTCTGGTTTCCAAATTTGGGGTTTGCTTGGTTTTATGGTGCTGCTCCAGACCATTGATAAAGGTGAAGTAGTTGGGTCAGAAGGTTCTGTGGTGTTTTCAGTGGTTGCAGGCAGAGTTTAAGGAGAGTAGCTTAAGTTACCAAGATTGAGTTCTATGTAAATATCTAATAGTGGAGTTTGTATGAATGATGACGCTAATTAGAAGATCACTATGGAAGAACTTTGTGTTTGTTGGTTGCACTGGAGATGTCTGCAGAATTCAGTTTGTAATTCACTATTGTGCCTTTTTATATGGAAATATAACTTCGAGTTATTATGCTAGTGAGAAGCTTTTCTTCTGCATAGATAATTTTCAGCTCATTTTTCTGGTATTGTTACAAAAATTGAACTTGAATTGATCTCAGAGCCAATACCCTGTGTTACATTAATTGTTAATAGTGTGTTTCTCTGTTTCCTGTCACCCAGGGCTGTTAACATAAATGCCTCTAACTGGTGCCTCGAGCTTGTGTTCAAGGTCAGGCCTGGGCTGCTCACGCCTCCTGTGCCTTGGCTTGCCAAATCCAGCTCTGTGCAGGTGGGGTGGCAGGAGCTCAGGCTGGGACAGGTCCCTGCTGGCACTGGGAGTGCAGCTGCCTCTGCTCTGGGACTGGGTAAAACCAGTCCCAGCCCAGGCCCGGCTGCAGCTCCGCCTTGGAGGCTCCCCTTATCTGTGTTTTGTGCTGGAGGTGGCTGGGGGAGGTTTGAAGGAGCCTCAAACACACTCTTGTTTTGTTGTTGTGATCCATACAAATTGTTTTCAAGGCATAGTTTTCCTTCCACCATCAGGAGTGGAGCTCCCTGAGCTGCCTTGAGTAATTAGCTGAAATTTGTGCATGAGACCTCTGCAGTTTCCTTCCACCCTGTCCTGCCTTTCCTTCCACCCTATCTCTCCTCCTTCCTTTCCTTCCACCCTGCCCCTGTCCCTGCCTCTCTTCCCAGAGCTTTTTTTGCCATGTTGTCTGCAGTGCCTGAGCCTCTCATGTCACCATATAATAAATCCTAAATGCTCATGAGGTCCAGGAGAGTTTAGAGGGTGACCCAGGCAGGAGAAGGCCTCTGTGCTACTTCTGCAGGCTTGGGGCAGACCTGGCTCTTTGAGGCTTTTTTGTTTCTCAGAATGCAGCACTCAGTGAACAATACTTGTACAAATTAAGTAATAAATTATTTTTTTGAAAGTTCAAAGCTGCTTATGAGTTTAAAACCATGCCAGACAGCTTAGTTAGAGATGTTTTATGTTCATCCTACCATACAGAAATCTGAAGACTCCTTTGCCTTGTTTGCTTTTCAGTATTGCAGGAGTTATGGCCAATTTTGGGGGCTGGAGTTTTAGAACTGATTACTTAAAATACATGGTGGAGTCTTGGGGTCATGGATAAAATTCAAGCAGCCAGACACTGATTTAATCTCTCTCCAGTATAACCTCACAGAGACTCCCCTGCCTTTCTGGAGATGTCACATAATGTGATGGCTTCTAAAATCCACCTGGGGGTTTTCATTATTTAAAAGCAGAAACCCAGGCAGAGCAAGCTCCCTACTTCTGTTGGATGGGTTTGAGTTTTGCCACCAAGAAATTCTATAACACACGTGGTACCCCTGCTAGGGAGAAATACCAGCCAGTGTGGGTGACAGGGTACTAATGAGGCCTGGGATGTTCTTTTACATTTTTATCTTTATTCTCCCAAATCATATTAATTTCTAGACTTAACATCAATTTAGTAGTTTCTGAACCTTTGCAAGGGCAATGGTCTTTCCAGAGCTTTGCTAGAACAAAGACATTTTAAGAATCTTAATAGAGAATCGTATAATCTTATTACAACTGCTCCTGTTTAAATCACTTCCTTGTACTTAAATAACAATCTGTCACCAGCTATTTCTTGATTGTAGTTTTTGTCAGTTGCAATTTATCCCCCTCCCTGGTTTGGTTGCATTTTTTTTCCCCCCTGATTGTGCAACCTTAGGTTGGCAAAGCTCCTTCTTTCTCACACAGTTCTTCTGAGTCCGCTGGGAGTAATTGCATGAGTAAACTGCTCACTGGTGTAAGAGCTGTGCAGTTCACAAGTAAAACCTTTGTGGGACAAACCCCACTGAAACAACTGATACAGACACTTCTGATATTCCTCAGGGAGAGACCAAACAAAGTCTGTTTAAAGGTAACTTCCTCCTCTGAGATGGCAGCACAAAAGAATCCCTCAGACACATTCGGGTGGTTCCTCGTGGGGGTGAGCAGACCCCAAGCATCACCTCAGTTCTGTCATTCTGATTTTTATTTATCTCTTTCTTTTTAGTGATGAGGATTTCTTCAGCCAAATCTGTTGACCCAGTTGCTGCTGAAGCTGCTTTTCTGCTGACTTTCAGCTCTGTTTGGACAGGGATGAGGCTTGTGACAACAGCAGTAAGGCAGAGATGTTTGCTCTAACCTATGAAATCAGGCAGAATTGAAGATCATTAATTAATCCTTATCTGCAGAGCTGTTCTAACATGCCTGTTCTGTGGTGGATGGTCAAGCACAGCGTGCTCTGCCACATGGTGCACGTAAAGGAAAGCACTTAACAGTTGTTAGTTGGAAAACAGAAGTTGAATATTTTTAATTATTCAATTAATCAGAGAAACACCCTTCCATTTTGTGCCATTGCTGGATTGTGGCTGGTAATGTCTGGTTAGAGGTTCCTGATCAGGCATTACCCTGAATATTCAGATCCAGGGAAGACCTGATGCATCTTTAAAATGCCCCTACCCGGGTATTTAATTACTTGATGAAAACCTCTTTCTCTAATGACCACTGGAAAGCACAAACTCCCCTCTGTTGTATTATCTAATGAAATATTTGCCTTCTGAGCCTGTCCTGCCTTATTGCAGGGGTTTGATTGCTTCTTGCAGTGTTCTGCTGCTTGCAGTGATTTTTTTTTAAGGATGGAATGATTATTACCTATGAGAAGTGTTACTATATTTTGCTGCTGTTGTTGAGCAGAGTTCATGAAGTTAAACTTTGTCTACCAATTTAGAAGAGTTTCTCAGAAAGTCAAGATAATGCCTCTATTGGAATGTTTTCTGATAAACAGCATAGGTGACACAGACTACTTTTCTTAGGAGTATGCAAATGCAGATCAGAAGTCAATATTTAATACTGTCATTTTTTTTCAATTTGTCTATATTTTTAAGGCAGAAATTTCTATCTGCTGCTCAGAAGAACAGCATGACTGTCCTTGCACCAGGCTATGATCGTGGTATTTCATACTTTTTCAGCAAAGCTGCTGCTCTCTGAAGATTTTATTGGTACTTGGGTGACTCCTCTGAAAGATATTTATGTTTGTATGTTTACTGGTTCTCTTGGGAAGCTTTAATAAGGAAGTAAAATACAGGAATGTTATAATTGGTTTGACTTGGCTTTCAGAATTCTTGCAGAGAAGCTGAAGTATAAAAGCTCAAGTACAGCAAAATCACTTTTAAACTGGTTTATTGCAGAGAAGCACTGAGGTAAATCATCAAAGGATTTTTAGTCTGCAAAACTGCTTAAGTGTTATGTTTAAAATTTACAAATCGCTGACCCCTTTGTGAGACACTGAGACAGACTGAAATGTCTGGCTCTTTTTTACGTTTGACTACCTAGTGAATAATCTCCTTTTGCCTGGCCTGCTGCTTTCAACACACTGAGTGCTGCAATTGCCATTTTGGTGTCTGTCTGCCAACCAATAGTGGCTGTGTATATTTAATTTCATCATAATACGACCATAGGATGCCTCCAGGAGTATTTACATGGACTTTAAAAGTCAGGATGTGTTGTATGGCTGGAGATGTGGAATTCTGGGGAGTGCTCTGTGTGATGGGAGCTCTGCTGAAATGCTGAGGAGCGAGGAGCAGCAGGAGAGTTTTGTAGCTTGTCTTTATTATTCTGTTTTTAATTTGCTTTATTGGGGGGAGGGGGGATCTGTTCTGCAGGAGATCAAGCAAAGTGTGAGCACATCTTTCCCTCTGGAGGGGTGGGGGACCTGTTGATCTGGGGCTGGCTGGGATCCCTTGTTTTTAGTGCTGTTTGCTTTCAGGTGTGAGTGCAGGAAACACGCTCCAACATCCTGAATGCAGGAACACTTTTGTTCTCTATGCTCTGTGCAAAATTATGTCTGGATGCCTTGGCTTCCAGCCAGGCTTTTAATCTCTTTTTTTCTGTCAGCTTGGATAGTGTATATAATACTATAGTGCCTTTTCCTGTCCCTGGAAATGCTGATTTTTAGTTTTATTTTAAGAAGGATTTTCTTTTTCTTACTCAGAAGAAAAATAAACTTTAAAGGAGGAGGAAACTGTGCTTGGGGTTTTTTTTTCTTTTTCATTTCTTCTTGTAGTTTATGCTTTATAGAAAGGCCTGAAATGTGCTGCCAAAGCTTTCTTTCTTGTTTCACAAATACAAAATTTAGAAACGGGGCAGGGCAAGGTGAGGAGGGGTCTCAAGGTAGTTTGGAGTGAGAGAAGGGGAGAATTAGAAACACATTCAGTGCCCATGAAACAGATGTGCCTTTAGATGCCACAAGGCTTATTTTTCATCCAGCTTGACCAGTATTTTGTCAAAACTCCTATTTTAGCTATTTAAATAAAATACTATTTAGTAATAAATAAAATACTATTTAAATAAAATTTCCTTTCATGGGAAGGCCCAGTAAAAGAGAATTAAGCCCCGCCTGCCATCCATGCTAAACAGTTGCAAATCAGAGCCCCCTCCCTCCAGTTGCCTCTTCTCTCCTCCTGGGTTTCATTGTTTTGATGAAAGCTGTTCTGGTGCCAACTCCCAGCCCAGAGGGCAGGTGAGAGGAATTAAAAAAATCCCGGATTCCAGCTCGGTGATTAACATATCTTTTGGAGCTTGTAATGTCATCTTTGCACACAAAACAAAGTCGCAGCTGCTTCACAGAGCAGAGGTTTGTCAGAAAGGCAAACATCAAAGTGGCAAGAAAAGAGGAGTTTATATAAAATCTAGCAGAAAGACTTAAAACATTCGTGCTCACCTATAAGAGCTATTAAAAATTTAAGAAAAAGCCTTTGAAGGCAAGCATTAAAGATTTAATAGTATTAATTGAATTAAGCCGTGGGAGTTGAGGATATGTAGACACATGTGTGAGTGTATGTTCTGAGACAGAATCTGTGTTAAGGCAGCAAAGTGCTGAGACCTCAATTAGCTGTACTTGCTTTGTAAGGGCTACCTTAACAAACCTATTTTTTCGTGGGGTTAATTAGAGATGCCATTAGAACTGAGTGTAAACACAAGGAGGGGACTGGGAGAGATGGAAAATGCAGAGCCCACCAGCCTTGGGCAAGGCAAACAGGCAGAATCGTTTCCAATCTACGTTTAAGGATAATTTTGTTTATATCATTAAGGCTGATTTTTTTTTTTTTTTTCAAGAATAGGTTCCTTTTCCTTTGTTGTGAGAACAGTAACTTAATACTGTTGTGCTCCAGCCACAGGTAAGGGTTTTTTTTGGCAGCTAAATTTCCATGTTACTCGATAATTATTTTCTTTTAAGACTGGCTGATTTTGGTAGCTTTTTAGCTTTTCTTATGCATAGAACTTTCACTGTTAGGAAAACTTCTTGCTGGAAGAAGAGGTTTGTAAATAGACACAAAAATAAAATCACAGTTCAGTGTGATTGCTGTAACCTGGTGTGGAGGAGATTTTGTTGGGGTTTTTTTCTTTGCAAATTAAATACTTGATTTAAGGCTTAACATATTTGCATAATACATTAAAAAGCAGGAAAAAACCAAATCCTTGTATCATTTCTAGAAAGAAAGAGCACTGAAAGCTCCTTGCAAGCCTGCAGGTGGCTTGGCAAAGGAGGGACATATCCAGGGGGAGCAGCTCCAGGAGGATTTGATGGCTGTGGGAATCCTGATATGGAGAGGCACCACCAGCCCCATCCAGAGGGATAACAGAGCTGAGGGAGATCTCAATACATTCATTTTTCCTTCTTCAGGCTGCTGGCAGTGTGGGGAGGGTTGTGTGAGCCCTTCCTGCTGCAGATGTAGTTACCAAATGATTCAGCACGATGCCGTGCCCACGGACTGGAGCAATATTGATGAATTCATTACTGCTCTCTGATGGATGTTAATGGGCTTGAATTTCTTCTGTGCATTTGGACTAGGTGGAAAGCTCTTGAAAAAACAAAAAAAAAAAAAAAAGAGAAAATGGAGTTGGGTGAGTTTTTAAGCCACTTTTGTGTTCTGCTTCTAAATCTAACGAGGGAATGTTTTTAATGACTTGCATGAAAACAATGGTCAAAACAATAATCACCAGGCAGCTCTGGGAGGGACAGGGAGGAGCAGTGCTCCACCAGGGATTTATTGCATTTTATTCAATATATCCCAAGCCACAATCAGCTGCTTTGGCAACAGAGGCAGGTATTGCCTTTTCCATGTGGGCTCCTTAGGAGATGTCTGGAGTCCCAAGGCCATGATCCAGTTGCTGCTTGCAGGGTATCAAAGCTGAGGGGTAGGAGATGTTCTCTGCAAGAGCTGACTGGGAGAAAATGACCTTTAATGAAGGAACAGGCACAGATGCTTTTGAGTAACAAGTCTTTGTCATCCTCTTTGAAATGAACAAGCTGCTTCCCACTCAAATAATTTTCCGTCTAAATATCCAGAATAGATAAAAGAGTAGGTAGGGTTTTACTGCTGGAGGATGGATTCAGAAAACTTGAGGAATTATTATGCTGACAGCTGAAAATTTCTGTATATCTGCATAGGAGAATGTGGGATTCACTGGCATTTTCAAACCAGATTTTCTTTTTCCTAATTCCACAAAAATCAACAAAATAATAATAAAAAAAATATATTGTTGATCAAGCATGACTTTTTTTTTGTGTATGAATGAAGGAACTGTAAAGTTTGAAGCAGAAGAACAAGACAAAACCTTATGTCAAATGTGCTGATATTAAAAAAAAAAAATCTTTAAGTGATTCATTGCCATCAAAGCTGAACTTAAAAATATAGCTCAGAATCAGGAACTAGGGCACCACAGAAGTTGACCAAAGCGAATTATTTTTATATTATTCAATATCCTTGAGGTCTAGTTCCTGGGAGCCAGAATGCAGTGTAGGTCCAGGGTGCTGGTGGCACAGCTGGGACCTCTCCTCTGGAATTGCACCTGCCAAGGTGGTGGTGCTGGACACGTTAGACAGGTCTGAGAGGAAGAGGGAGGAGAGGTGGGTTGGATTGGGAAGGATTTTGGGAACTGTGGTGTGTACAGTTTGAAAAGATAGGGAGGAGTCAGAGGGAAGCTGAACATTTGGTGTTGCAGGACAGAGCTAAAATCAGGGTGGGAAAAGGGCAGGGCTAAGAAATAAGAAATTTAGTAATTTGGAGAGTGAAGGACCAAATTTCCTTCTTCTCTGTGGCCATCTTCAAGGTGGAATTGCTTTGTCCCTAGGCAGGAAAAGGAGATTTCCCAGAACCTCAGTCTGCAGTTCTTGCACAGTCACCTGCTGAACCAAGTCCCAAACCTAAACCATCAACTTCTCCTCCAGTTTGAGCTTCCCAGGTGCAGCTTTGCCCAGTGAGCTGTAACTGGAGATTGCTGTTGGAATGCCTGGTGCTGCCTTATTTGGGGTGTTCTTTAGAGTAATTAGAGTGACCTTGGCATTAATTGGTTGGGTGGTGTGATCTGTGAGCAGCCCCAGCCCTGCCTGTCCCCCTGCCTGTCCCGGCGTGTGGGATCAGCTCACCAGAGCTGTTCCACCTGTGGCTCTGGTGTGGGGCAGAGTGGAGAGGCAGGAGCTGGAAAATCCCATCCTCACTTCTCTGAGCCCGACTGCTGGGCAGCAAATCCTGCTCTGGAACCCTGGCCTTTGGCCAGAACCTTCCTGCAGGGAGGATTTTGGGATGTTTTTCCTACTTTGCAATCTTACAGCAGTTTATTCCCAGAATGGCTTGGGTTGGAAGGGACCTTAAAGCACATCCAGTTCCATCCCTGCCCTGTCCATGGCAGGGACACCTTCCTCATTCCCAGGCTGCTCCAAGCCCCATCCAACACCTGGAACACTTCCAGGGATCCAGGAGCAGCCACAGCTTCTCTGGGAGTCTGTGCCAGGGCCTCCCCACCCTCCCAGGGAAGGATTTTCTGCTGAACTCCAGTATCATGAGCAGACAACTCTTGTACCTGAATTTCTGAGGTTTAAAGCAATCTGATGTTGGTACTAGCTTCTGATAGTTGAATTAAGACATTGTGGTGACTTTTTAAGATGATTGTGCAAAATCTGGTGGCTGTGAGGGAAGGCACTTGAAATTTTATGCCATGAATGGACATTGATGAATGTAAGTAGGATATAAAATCAATCTGTTTTCTTTGCAGGCTTGTAGTTTGTGTTGACAGGAAGCACACTTAATTAAAATGGAAAAAATAGTGTTTGGATGTATGGACAGGTATTTCTTGGCATCTTGTACTTCTTGAACAATCCTTTTCGTGTCATCCATGTCATAAAATAAAAGTATTAATCCTTCAGCTTCTGCCAGTAGTGCCATGGAGAGTTAAACTGTTTTTCCCCCCTAATCTTTGTCATGGTGAGTATTTGCCTGTGGCCTGCTGAGTGTTTTAATGTGGTTTCATGTCTGGTGTGTGTAGGAGGATGGGAGAAACTGCACTTGGTGACGTTTACTTCATATCAATAAAAGTGCAAAATCAATTCAGATAATGAAATCACTGGGTAATTTTAAGGAGCAGGTATCTTCCCAAAATATGGAGTCTGATACATGAGCACACATCTAGGTGAATATGAATTTTAAATATTGCAGTTCTGTAGGAAAGCACTGGGGTTTAAAGAAGGGAGCTGACATTTTGTGCTCTTGTACTTTTTGCAGCTCTTTCTGTGTTCAGGCTGATCTGTGAGGGCCTGAGCAGGTGCCTGTCACCCCATAACAGCCTCAGTGACAAGGCTGGACTTTTCTAATTAGTAGTAGATTCTAAGGCACATCCTCTGGCAAGAAAATTGGATATCCTCTTCCCTTCCAAAAGGAAAATGTGAAAGGAGAGAAGTGTCTCCTACTGCCCTTAATTCAGTTGAAAACAGAATTCAGGCATACTTGGTAAGCTGAATTTATTTCACGTTGTTACCTTTCAGTCAAGGCACACATTGGGTGGTCTTTTTTTTCCTCCTCAATTTGTGAGAAAACAGATGAAATGCTTTCCTTGAAGCAGGTAATCCCCAGAGAACAAATTCCTTCAGGAAGTTTGAGGAGGTATTTTCACTGCCCTATTGGATTAATTTGCATTTGGCATTTCTGCTTCCGTGTGTAATGGCCTCACACTGGTAATTCTGCAATATTCTGATATTCACTGCACACCTGCTGCATGGAGAATAAATGGAGATGTGCCCATGTCAGACAATACCCTTTTCCTGACCCAGAAATGGGGTGACTGAGGGGCATTTTAAAAACTTCTATTCCATTTTCAGTCTCGTGAGAAAGGTGAGACAATACAGGTGTTATAATTCATGCCACTACAATCAGAAGCCAACTATTTCTTAATTACAATACACTGGAAGTGTTTCCTGGTCTATCAGCTTTTGTCACGCCATGCTGTAAATGCCTTAAAGCCAATCATCTAAAATTGCCCCTTGTGGGTCCTACTACAGTGCATCTTTCATAGCTCTATTTCTCCAAAGTGTTTAGTCTTAAATACTAGTCTTAAATTTAGTCTTAATATTCTGCAAAATCTTTTATCTTGTCATAGAAAGCCAATCAGCCATTTTAGATTGATCAATAATGTCTGAAACAAAAAAATTTAAATATTCTCAAAAAAATTAGTAAGTGAACAATTACCAAAAAACCACATCAAGCCTACAAACATGCCCACAGTGCAGGTGGCACTGTGGGTGACACTTGACCTGGCAGTAGAAGGAGGAATGTGTTATTTTTAAAGAGCTGTTGTCAAAGCTCGTAATCCTAAAATTAGATCCCAGTGCAGGTTGGATTTGGGTCGTGAGTGATGAGCTGCAGGTATGGCAGAGCTGTCCCCTCTCCCAGCCCTTCAGAGCACATTTACAGCCACCCTGTCAATGATTCCAGCTGCAAGGGCCAGGGGAGCTGGGGGTGACAAAAACCCACAAGGGCCAGGGGAGCTGGGGGTGACAAAGCCCCAAAAGGCCAGGGGAGCTGGGGGTGACAAAGCCCCACAAAGACCAGGGGGACTGGAGGTGACAAAGCTCCACAAAAGCCAGGGGGACTGGAGGTGACAAAGCCCCACAAAGGCCAGGGGAGCTGGAGGTGACAAAGCCCCAGCAGCTGTGGCTTGGCAGGTCCCAAAAGGACATGGCCAGGTGGTGCTGCTGTGTGAGGCAGGTTAGAGATTTGCTCCTCACACCCCTTTCCCATACACTCTTAGAAATGAGCTCCCCATGGAGCTCAAATCCTGGGAAATTGAGGAGACAAGGAGTAACAAAAAGTGGGATGGAGAAAACAGAACCAGATTTGTCCGT